TGAAGAACATGATTCCAAGAAAGACAATAACGAATGTCTACTAGAATGACATAGGGCAATAAGCAATTTGTTTAAGTTTCCAAGTTTCCTTGACAACAAATCTGGTTGTAAATGCAGGACCTTTCAAGAACCGCATGCACTTCTTATTGGAAAATGCACTCCTCTGCAGAGCGTGTCTTCTCCATTTTTCGAGAAATGGCCGAATCTCCTAAGCAATGCAAGGCTCGGATCATTTGAACCTCTTCAAGTTGAAACAGTCAGGTCTCACGCATGTTATCCCCTCTCTGCAAAGTATTTCTACCCGATCAACTTACATCGAGGATGGCAGGGCCTTCAATCAACAATTCTTCCAGAGATTCTGGTAGTTTGCGACAAGCAAAATCCACACTACTACAATAATCTAGTGTAACTAACTTCAACTTCCTCCGATGAGTCGGATCATGGAAACTCTCTCCCTTTTTCAAGATCGAAGAGCTCCGGAATTCGTAGATACTCCACACAATCAAGGCCTTGAATCTCTGATGTTGTAGAGTTCTCCATTATTAGTTCTGACAGTCTCTTCAAATTTGAGAGATCCATCGTTGTTCTCATCCACCGGCAAGATTCAACACATAAATAAGATAAACTCCGAGGGAAGCCTTGGGAGGCACAACAAATTAGCACGCCGGAGTTCTAGTCTTTTGAGTTGTGAAAGCTGCCAATATCCGTTGATAAGGTGGTTACAATAGCAGACGACAATGTTAAAGACTCAAATTTATTTAATCTCACAATGTACCATGGCATAGTATCTTCCACAAGCTGACAATTGTCTACAGGGTAAGCATCTGGTCGAATGGCCAGATACAAATTATTTAAACTTGTCAGGTTTGAGAAATCTGGAAATATTGTCGTCGATGTATTAATGTGCAAACTAACGAGACTTTCTGGAAGCTTTGGTACTTGGCATGTTTCAGTTAGTGTCAATTTCAGGATCCTCAAAGACAAATTTCTGCAAATGTCATTTGGAATTTCCAGTTGCAAGCTTTCACCATGTGCTGCGTCTGTTTCTTCTAGCTTTTACAACAACCATAAGGCACTAGGTATCTTTCCAATAAAACAATTGTTTATCCTCACTGCTTTCAAACTTTTCATGTTTCCCATTGAGTCTTAGCTCTTTAATGCACGCGTAGGAAATATCGAATTCAAGTAGTGATTGCAGATTGCCAATCAAGTCCGGAAGCCTCTCTATACATTCACATTCTTTTTGAAGACAAGTATTCAAGGCTTGTAAGAGCTCCAATCAACAGGGGAAGTTGTGTAATTATGGTGTTTCTAAAAGATAGCCTTGATAGAGATGTCAAGTCACCAATGGAAGAGATTATCTTCAATAATGAACAATGTGAAGCACTAAGAATTTCAAGATCCTTCAGCATTTGATATTCAGCGTTGAAGAATCCAGTAATGCCTGAATATCATAGATATTTCCCCCGGCGCATTCGATTGTTTCTTCTGGTCAACATCATAAAAAAGGAAGAGAATTTCTTCTCGAAATTCTAAGTGCTGAAGTGACCAATGGAAGAGATTATCTTCAATAATGAACAATGTGAAGCACTAAGAATTTCGAGATCCTTCAGCACTTGATATTCAGCGTTGAAGAATTCAGTAATGCCTGAATATCATAGATATTTCCCCGAGCGCATTCAATTGTTTCTTCTGGTCAACATCATAAAAAAGGAAGAGAACTCTTTTACTAGATAGCCTACCTTTAATTGTCTTGATCCCTTCATCAACATTACTTATTTTAGTCAATTTCCAGTTATGGGCATAGGAGATGAGTTGATTCTACAAGTACCAAATGCCCTTGAGCTCTGAAGTATCACGATTGTTAGAAACAAGGCAACAGTGCTCAAAACCATGTGAAAATTTATTATAGGTAATTTTGGCGAGAGTTGACTTTATGACACCGCCCATTCAATTGAATTCCAACAATCCGTGTTTCCTGCTTTGTGAGCGCCTATCATACTCATGAGTAAGACTAACTTGAACACCATTTTCACATCAAAAAGTCCATGAATTGGTTTTGGCAGGCGCAACTAAGACTGCTGTGAACACCTCTTTCAGCGCACACAATTTTTCTCCCCGTGCCCTTCTAGTGTTTCCTCGTAAAGGAATATTTGGCTACTGATAAGCAAGTTCTATTGCCTATCAATGAAGAGAACACACATACAGATGAAGAGCAATATTCATTCTTATAGCCCCACAAAACGGATTAATAAGCAATTAGGTTTGCTTAAATAGTCCTTTTAACCCCAAAAACATTACGTGCGATGCCCCAAATTGCACAATGCATCCCTTTGCCCTGCTCTAATGATTTCTCTAGAAAAAAGGGCCAAACATTCAACTAAAACTTCAAACCGAGTTTAACAGATTTAACAATTTCATCAATAGGCAACGACTTCCGTCACTAATATTCAAGTTTCTGTCACTCAACAGGTGAATACCACCCCAAGATTGTGAAAGGGAATTTAGTTGACATTATATGTCATCCTCATTTTCCTTTATTTGGTCTTCATTTGTACAGCCGCCCCATTAGCCGCAGCTCCCTGCATAGAAAGCTCTCTGTAAGTTTCTCAAACTCTAATTTCTTTCAACAACATTAGAAACCGGCAAAAAAGCAGGTTGCTGAGATGTCTCCCTTAGCACTTCTTGTCAATCTTAAACCCTAAAAGAGTGCTCTAGTACAGCTTGAGGTGAATGGAAGGGCTTCTATTACAGAGAATCACCTAGGCACAACCATTTCCAGAAGATGTAGGTGATAATGGAGTTCACACAAGAATCCATTTACATGATTTCTGACCCCAATGAGACGTATCATATGTCCTATGCACCAGTAATACTGAAATATTAGCCTTTGACTATAAGGTGATTTATGATACCTCGGAGAAGCTAAGTAGCTCCTCTATCCTGCCACAGATGGAAGTTTTTCCGGGCAAACTATTGATGCCGCTACCCAAGTGAAATTCGTCTTTCTTCATTTTATAACTTCTCCCTAACATTTGCAAATCTCAGTAAGAAGCACACCTATTCTGGACAATAAACTGAACATAAGCATATCAATACAGAGTGTCTGTCTTCTTCACAGTTGCAACGATGAGTTGATTATGCCGTAAAGTTCCAGGATGAGAACCATAGTTATATGACCTTCCAGCACACATTCCATCTAATTGTTTACAGCATAACAAAGTTATCTCCAAAGCAAAGCGAGGTTATCAACTTCGAAATATATGAAGCAGCAAATCGACAAGGATCTCTAATAATTTGTTACATGTCAAATAAAAACTATGCAATCGAGATGCATACCTCCAGCTGGGAAACATAAAAGCAAGGAGAAACCATCCAAATAATATATAGCCAAAAAAGCCAAACCAAACAAGGAAAAGAGAACGAATATTTGAAAATAATTAAGAACCTTCTGGTTGTACGGATGTATCACAATTTCAATACCTTCATCAGATTTTCAGTCATCAACTCATGAAAAGGTAATTAAAAAAGTGCATGTGAAACTTTTCTGTTCATATCTGAGAAAGAATTTGATTGCAGAAAAGGGAAAACAAATATTTGTCAGATGAAATAGGTTACCTCAAGTTGTTTAAAGTTTGAACATGAGGCAACAATTTGTGGTCGTGGATCAAGAAGCTTTCAAGAGCAACGTGCACTTATTCCTCATCTTCTCCCTGAGATTCAGATTCGTCATCTTCTCCCTCATCTTCAGATTCAGATTCGGCATCATCTCCCTCAAATTCAGATTCGTTGTCTTCTCCATCATGTTTAGATTCAGATTATCTTTCTTCTCCGTCCCATTCATTGTCTTCTTCCAGAAATTCGACTCCCTTCTCCGAGCAAAGCGAAGAAATTGCCTCCACATCTAATTTCTTGCACCGATTTATTTCAACCTTTCGTAGTCCCATCAAGCTCGATAGATTAGGCAACTCCTGTAAAGATTTACAAGTATCAATCTTCAATTTTTCCAAAGATTGTGGTAGTTCGCCTTGAATCTCAGCCAAACTACCGCAGTGACTTATGCAAACCTCTCGCAACCCCTTCAAGCTCGACAGATCAAGCAACTTTTCTAAAGATTCACAGAAAAAAATCTCCAATTTTTCCAAAGATTGTGGTAGTTCGTCTTGAATCTCAGCCAGATTACCACATCTACTTATGCAAACCTCTCGCAACCCCTTCAAGCTCGACACATCAGGCAACTTCCGTAAAGATTCATAGTCATCAATCTCCAATTCTTCCAAAGATCGTGGTAGTTCGCCTTGAATCTCAGCCAGACTACCGCATCTTCTTATGCAAACCTTTCGCAACCCCTTCAAGCTCGACAGATCAGGCAACTTCTGTAAAGATTCACAAAAAGAAATATTCAATTTTTCCAAAGATTGTGGTAGTTCGCCTTGAATCTCAGCCAGACTACCGCAGCTACTTATGGAAACCTCTCGCAACCCCTTCAAGCTCGACAGATTAGGCAACTTCTGTAAAGATTCACAGTCATAAATCTCCAATTTTTCCAAAGATTGTGGTAGTTCACCTTGAATCTCAGCCAGACTACAACAGCTACGTATGCAAACCATTCGCAACCCCTTCAAGCTCGACAGATCAGGCAACTTCCGTAAAGATTCCCAGTAATAAATCCTCAATTCTTCCAAAGATTGTGGTAGTTCGCCTTGAATCTCAACCAGATTACGATAGCTGTCTACATGAAGACATCTTAGTTCGTTTGAATAACTTAGACCACGTAGGATCTGCAGCTGGTCAAAGCCTAAAAGCCACAAATCTCGTGGTTTCATCCGAGCATATGCAAGAATTGCCCCCTCATTTAATTTAGCGCAATTTTTTATTACAACCCGTTGCCTACCCACCAAGCTTGACAGATCGGGTAAATTCAGCAAAGAAGGACATGAATAAATATACAACCCATCCAAAAACCGTGGTAGTTCCCCTTGAATCTCTACCAGATTAAAACAATAGCATACATCAAGACGCCTCAGTTTGTTTAAATTGCTCAGATCAGGTAGTATCTTCACCTGTCCAAGGCTCTTAAGGTCCATATCTCGTAGGCCGTCCAGACAACCAAGGCCTCGAATCTCTGCAATTGCAGCGCCCAAAATGCCGAGAGATGATAGATTCTTCAAATTCGATAGATCCTCCATCGAGCAAAGTGAGTCGCAACCTTCCAAACGTAAGGAGGATAAACTTGGGGGAAGACTCGGGAGGTGACGCAGTTTAGTGGTCGAGAGGCGAAGTGACTCGAGCTGAGGAGGAAGGGCTGTTGGTAAGGTGGTAATCCCGCACTTGAGGTCAAGTGACTTGAGTTGAGTAGGGAGGCTTAGGTCTGTTGGTGAGGCGGTCTCACAATCAAAGCGCAGGGCCAGAGACTCCAGATTGCTCAAGTTCCCCATCCACCGTGGTATTGGATCTTCCACGGGCCCATATGATTTCCCATCATAATCACGTCCCCTAAATCTCAGATTCAGTTTCTTTAAATTAGTGAGGTACGAGAGATCTGGAAACGTGTCCATGCACAACTCCTCCAGCGATAAATCGATGAGACTTTCAGGAAGCCTCAGTGGTAGCGCGTATATATCCACCCCATCCAATCTCAAGATCCTCAGGGATTGATTTCTGGAGATGCAATTGCCAATATTCACATGGCAACGCTCGGGAGCAAACATCCTGTTCCTGCCGACATGTATTTCTTCGAGCTTCTCAATCGTCCAAAAGGCATCGGGTATTTTGCTTATGCCACTATGCTCCATCTTCACTACTTTCAAATTTTTCAATTTTCCGATGGAATCGGGTAGTTCTTTGATCCTCGTAATAGATATATCCATCTCAATCAGCGATTCCAAATTCCCGATTGTATCCGGAAGCCTCTCCAACAATCTGCAACTTCTCAGAGATAGGTATTTAAGGCTTGCAAGATCTCCACCCAGCTCACCTGGCAGCCTCTGAAGATTCTCACAATTACTTACATCTAAGGAAACTAAGCGTTTCAACTGACAAATCGATCTATCAATTTCGGTCAATAATGGACAACTCGATAGGATCAAACGTTCTAAATTTGAATGAACAGAGAAGTTGGGGGTTCTCTTCAAGTGTCGGCAATAGGACAGATCCAGAACTTTCAAATTCTTCATCACCTGTAAAAGAAAAATTATGCAAAGATTACTTTTGAATCTCATAAGACGGAATAATAAGTGTTGTCTAGCATATAAGATACCTCCATGTGCCTCCACCCCTTCCAATCATCCGTGATTTCACTGGAAGAAAGATCAAGAAAAACCACATCCTCCATGGAGAAATTTGTAATGTTAAATATTGGGGGAATACGACGCCACGAAAGCCAACGTAATTGTGGAAGGAGATCTGAATTCTCATTAGCTGAAGGAACATTTGATGTCAATTCATGCCAAAGAAGCCGCGCTTCTGCACAGAAATTTTCCATCGAACCGCCCACTTCAAGGAACCTTAAATATGATAGGCTCTCAAAGCCCTCATAGGTAAAGCGATACTGCCACTGATTGTCCAAATTGAGACATAAAGCTTCAACTTTTGTTTTCCCCTGCCCAAAGGTAAAATTTTAACACAAAAAAGTTGAAGGGAAACACATTAATTCAATTCCACTATATATAGCAGTTGAAGTTCAGTGCTATCATTCCTGTAATCTTAAAGGAGCAAAAATATAGGTTGAGGAAGTCGTAATGGTGCTAAACAACACAAAAAGTAACTGGCTTTTTATTTTTTGAAAAAAAAAATCCATAAATACTAGGAATTTATATTGGGGGGTATTTTACCTTACGTCTCCTCAGCAAATCCAATGCTTCCTTAGGATCCCACACCCTACTTTGCTTCTCTATTTTCATCTTACTTTCTTGATGAACTATTTCTCTTCCGATGTCTCTGAGTTGGTCATGCATCCACACTTTATTACCCCATCTAATCTTTATCAAAGACATGTTCTGCAGAACCTCCATAACTTCTTCTGGAAAATATTTAGATTTTTCCCAGAAATGAACCATAATGTCTTTGTCATATCCAATGAAAAAACAAGCTATATCGAGGAATATATGTTGTTGTCGAACTTCTAATGCATCAAAACTTATTTTTAGCTTACTCTGAACATCCAAATGAGGAACTTTTTCCAACTGCTCCAATTTGTCATCCCACTTTTTCTTATCAATGCAAGGTAAAAGTGAACCTATGACTTCAAGAGCTAACGGAAGGCCTCCAGCAATGCCTATCGCCCTTTTGGATTGGTCGATATGCTCGTCTAAAGGAGAATCTCTTCTGAAGGCATGTTTGCTAAAAAGTTGTAGAGATCGAGCGAAATCCATGACATTAACCTCATAAAGATTGTCCACTTTGGTAAGCTTAAGAACCTCTTTGTTTCTAGTAGTAATAATGAGTTTGCTCCCTTTACCAAACCAATCATGATTTCCTATGAGTGCATTCATATGATCCTTTTCTTCCACATCATCGAGAAGAAGGAGGACTCTTTTATTAGACAACCTGTCTTTAATGGTCTTAATCCCTTCATCAATATTTCTTATATCTATCCATTTCGTGTTGAGGATGTCAGAGATGAGCTGATGCTGCAAGTGGTGAATGCCCTTGAGTTTTGACGTTTCACGGACGTTAGAAAGGAAGCAACAACCCTCAAAATTTTTTGAAAGCTGATTGTAGATGATTTTGGCAATAGTCGTCTTTCCGATGCCACCCATTCCATGAATTCCTACAATCCGTGTTTCACTTGTCTCAGCACCAATCATTTCCATGATTGCATCCACATGGTCGTCGACACTGACCAAGTAATCTGATACCACCAAATAAGCCCTTTTCAATTCTCTGAAAACCTCCTTGGTGAGTTTTGTTGCAAACTCGCCTTCTTGCCTAGTGTTTGTTGGAGGTCAAAAGGCAATGAGTTAGAAAACTGTGTTGAACCAACTATTTTCTGACAAGACCAAATTGAAAACTATAGGCCTATTTGAAATGTATTCTTCAACGATTTATTCCATTGTAGGTGAATTAGCGGTGGCACTTGGGGTTAACGAATGACCTGAACTGACAAAATGTTGCTGGGAATGAAATGGGACAAAAATGGGATTGTGCCATTAGTTAGTGTGATTTGACGATATAACTTCAATTGCACACAATTTAATTTCAACAAAACTAACACAAATCTAGAAAAGAGACCAGTTGAAATGTATCCAGTTCAACGATACAAGGCACATGAGATGTAATGATAAAAGCAATCACCTGTTGGGCATGCTTTGCAGGTTGTGTCCGTTTATTTCCCCAACTGCACGGAGAGCATCCTTCCACTCTCTGATGGTCTTTTGGTCATATCGCTTCTTGCTTTCATGTGAAAGAAAGGCCTTTTCATAATCCCCAGTTTGGTACCGAACCTCTGCAGGCGCAACATCATAAAAAATAGGGATGATCTTTTGTCCCCCATTATTCTTGCACTCGACCATTTGGACTACCTCCTTGAGACACCATACACTAGAGGCATAATCTTTCGAAAAGATAGGTATTAAGATCTTTGACTGCTTAATTGCTTGGAGAAGTTCAGGGGCAAACTCTTCCCCTTTGCGGAGATCTTCGTCATCCTTAAATGCACGGATTCCTGTAGCTATCAGACTAGTGTAAAGGAAGTCAGTAAAACCTGCTCGAGTATCTGGTCCTCTGAAGCTCAAGAATACTTCATAGTCATATGAAGTAGCCATTCCTTGACCTTCTGTTGAAGTGTGAGTAGAAGAAGCGCCTCCTGCTGTTCCATCATTTTCACAGATGCGTCTTTTTTTGGCACTCCCCTCCATTTGATCTCACTTGATCTTCTCTTCAAGGAACAAAAATTGAAAAGTATAGCAGCAAAAGCAGTGGCAGCTAGAGATGGAAAAAGTTTAGAAGCCAGAACTAACAAACGGAGATCTCTGTGGGTCATTAAACGTGGAAGACAGGGTTGGCTAAATATGCAGAGAGTCACGGTCTCCAGTTTGCTACAATTGGTCAAATAAGAACGTTTCATTACAGCCTGTCAAAGTTGACGAATGCAGGTTTTTTCAACACCAAAGTGGCCCCTCCCAACTCAATTGTTCTCTTTTATCTTCACCGTCATAACGCAATTGAAAAAACAGGAAGATACAATTGCGGAGTAAATAAACTAGTGGAATTCTAAAAAGATGGGAGCAATCGAGTGCTTTCAGTTATTATGCTCTTGAATTTTAATAATCTTTGTCTTTGTGGAGTTTCTGACAACACCGCGTTGCGTTGAATGCCCCACGCACTCGCCCGCGGCGCGTTTTCGCTTGTACATAATTGTAGGGTCACTTTCGGGGTTTGGGTGTCGAGTCGGGCCTATTTTGGGAATTGTTGTTCCACGCGCGCAGATAAATGAATTATTGGTGTGATTCCTTTTTGTTTTGGTCGATGTGCGTTTCCTTCTTGAGAAATCTGGTTCACGGACTGTTCGTAGTCCAAGTCTTCGAATACTTTGACTTTGCCCTTCTAGTTCTGTGAGACACGCCTTCCCCCGCCGCCCCCCCCCGCGCCGTTCTTTTATTTTATTTTTTCTTTGGAGAGTGGTAGCTATTGCAATTTTTAATCTAATGATTGTATTTCGATCCAAGGCAAAATTATATGTATATGGCAATTTCGTAATTTCCATTTAGTTAAATTAGATAGTATCAACTTTTCTGATGATTAATAACACAATTTGTTAGACTATTTGAAGATCAAAGTTTCTTTGAACAGATTTTGTTTGTTTTGCAAGTATTTTTCAAGTTTCTAAATCAATTTTGTGGTAACTGAACATTTTGTGTTTCCCCATAGAAAATAGCCACTTCGCAACTAAAGTTTCACGATATTGACTTGACGACAACCAACATAAGCAGCAGCTACCAAAATCATCTTCTATCAACCATTCTTTAGCTAACCAAAGTCACCCGTAAAGAGTTGGCACGTACAATATCATAAGCTTTTCAGAGTCCGGATTATGATCAATCCAACGATGAATAAACCGAGCATTGTCTCCCCTCCATTGATCTCACTTGATCTTTTCTTTGAGAAATGTTTCAAAGATGAAAAAAGTTCAAAAGCCCCACTTATCAAATGCTGCCGGCCAAAAAAAAAATCATTTATCAAATGGTGGCCGCCTATCAATCAACTATCAAAGTAATAAACCCACTAGAGACCTCAACCGGCGTTCACGGCGAAAGTGGCCAGCGAGAATCCAAGGAAAATATGGTTAAAAAAGCAAAGTGATAATGAAAAGACATAAAGCAATACAGCAAAGAAAAAGAAGATGGGTCATCCTAACGCGGAAAAGAAGACCCTGCCAATGCTTTAGCGTGCCTTTTTGTTGTCGGCAAGATTTTTTCCCTTACCTAGAGGAATTTATTTTCATAGTTATATTCATGAAAAATTGTCATTGAGATCCTGTTTTACCATCTTCTTTATTTAACTTAGGGTCAGTTTGTTTAATGAAAAATCATTTTTGAGAAAAAATTTCCGTACTTTTCCGGTATTTGAATTACGTGAAATTATTTGATCAATATAAAATGTTTACCATGGACTAAAAACAATAAGCTTAGAGAATAACAATTTGGTAAGAAGGAATCGTTTTTCCTGATCTCTTGCTACGTTGAAGTGAGAAGAATATACTTCATCAGTGCTAAATTTTCTTACATTCCCAAAAACAAGATCATATATAATACTTTACAAATATGGTTTCATAATTTTTATCCTAATTTCTTTGTAATCGTTGTTATTTTGATGGGATTACAGATTAAACAAAGACGATATCGATTCGAGTTTATTAGTCATTATATGTTACTTTTAACGATACAAGCCGCCTTTAATGGATTTCACTTATTACCAATTACGATAAAATCAATTTTTTCAACTTGTTTTCACCATAATCAATTTTTTTTAATTTACTTTCTATGAAATTAAATTTCCTAAAAACATTTTCCTATGACAAGAAAATCCTCACCGAGATAAACACACTCTAAAAGTTTGTTTTTATATGATTTTCAATTTTCATATGATGATATTTGATCGGAGGGAATCGCAAGATGAATCATTGGTGTGATTCCTTCTCGAGCAAGTTGGCTCATGGACTGTTCGTAGTCCAAGTCTTCATAGACTTTTGACTTTGCCCTTCTAAACCCGTGATGTTTCAGTCTTCTTGCAACAACCGTACGCTGTTCTGTCTTTTTTTCTTCTCTCTTTCCGAGAGTGGTAGCTAATGTTAATACTACGTTAAAACGAGGCATAGGGAGCTTAGGTTTTAGATTGTTGGCGTCTGCATCAAAATCAAATCGACCAATCTCTTGCAACTATTAATCTAATGATTACATTTCGATGCAATACCAAACTATATGTATATGACACATTCCATTTTCATTTAGTTAAATTAGACAGTATCAATTTTTTTATTTGATTGATGCCATGATTGGCCAGATTATTTAGAAAATAAAGTTTTTGCTTGCGAGTATTTTTCGAAGTTTCTAAATCAATTTCGCGGTAACTAAACATTTCATGTTTCACGATAGAAAATAAAATCTCGTTAGATCCGGAGGTGTAAAAATGTTCCATTCCTGAATTCATAAGTTCTTAAGTCTTTTCAGACATAAATCCTAGTGTGACCAACAAAAAATTTAAGATTGAAGATATTAAATCACGATGACTCGATGAGTAAAAAAAAACTCTTGGGAAGTATCAAATTCCCCGAATTGAGACCAATGGAAAATTAAATTTGTTCTTTGATAGCTTTAGCTTTGATTATACTCCACTAAATTTTTGGTTTTTTAAATCGGACTCCTTTCATTCGAATCGAAATCGAGCTTCCTCCATTAGTTCAAAAGCTCGGGGGAAGAAGAGAAAATAGGTGGGATCCCACTGCATGACTCCTAGTCTTATCAAAAGAAAAGAAAGACTTTTCGTATAGATGTGTGGGGGCCTTAAGTATCAAGACCCTTTGTTCCTCCTTCACCACAGAACATTAAGGAACTAATAATAGGAAGATTTTTTTGAATGACCTTTTGGTAGGTTTTGAACTTGGAAAAGCCAAAGGATTGGCTAAATATGCAGATAGCCGTGGGCCAGTTTTGCTGCAAAATTGGTCAATAAGGATGCTTCCTCGAAGCATCGCTCCCAGCCTATCAAAGTTGACAATTATTTGCGTTCCTTAACGCGGCAAAATCATTGGACATGTGATGCAGATATTTTGGGGATTGCAATCAACTTTTGCCACCCAAACAAATAAATGGGCGGATTCATTCAAAGTCGAAGTCAACAAAAGCAGACATCAAACTTCCAACCAAGTTCGTTTCGTCCCATCCTAATCAAGGTGAACTCCGGCCAGTCCAGTTTGATGGGCTGATCGGGCCAAGAAATAAAACCAAGAAGTAAAAGACAAGTGCTGTGATGGCATACGATAGACAAGGGGCCAAGGTAGAAACTCTGAAATTATCTACTAAACTTATTTGTCAAATCTGCGATATAGACATCTTGCTGCAATATAAAATCGAAAGGTCAGGACTTTTTTCAAAGAAAATTAAGATTCCATGTCAACTTAATACAAAACTGAAAATTTATGTTCTCCATGATAAAGTAGAAAGTTAAGCACATTTTTAATAGCAATTTGGAAAGCTCAAGATTCTCTAGATCTGGAAAATTTAGTTTTTCCAAAAATGACTTTTTTATAAAAGAAAATGAGAACCGTTTGTATTTTCACACTTGTATAGTATCTATTTTCATGAATCCATTCATTCACTTGCTAAGATGATTTGATCAATATCACTTAATAAATCAATTTTAGTATACTTATTAACATTACTTGTAAATAACCCGGATTTATTTTGTTAAACTTCAAATGACGAAAAGCCCGTGCTTATTGAGTAAAAGTGCACATCTTTTTTAACAACATTGATGAAAAAAAAACCACATATGGCTAGCAATTGTAATTAAATTGCCATTAAGTAAAACCCGTCATGCGAAACGGCGAACGTGTGTTATTTTACAAATTATCATTGAAAATCTCCAGAAATTATTGAATTTGTGTTATGGAATCATTCATCAGATGCTGCCGGCCAAAAAAAGGAAATCATATAATCAAATGGGGGCCGCCTATCAATTAACTATCGAAGTAATTAACCCGCCGGGGACCTCAACCGTCGTTCACGATGAAACGCCCGAGAGAATCCGAGGAAAATCTTGTTAAAAGAGCAAAGTGATAATAATGAAAAGATATAAAGCAAAGAAAAGGAAGATGGGTCATGCTAGTGTGGAAAAGAAAACCCACCAACGCTTTTTAGCGTGCGCCTCTTGCGTCATCGGCAGGACTTTAGTCAAAAGTAGCCCGCAAGGCAAAAGAAAAAGAAGAAGAAGAAGAAAAACAACAACAACATGAGGATGCGTTTCGGTGGCAAGAAATCATTCATTATTGCTCATTCCTGTTTTGCCCCTTCTTGTCCCGAGGAATTCCTTTTCATAGTTATATTCACGAGAAATCATCCTTGAGATCTTGTTTTACCATCTTCACTTTTGTTCTGACTTTAGTTGTGGGGGCTTGGATATCTGGAAGAAAGTAACAATTCTTGTAATCGCACGAAAGCTTATAGTAAATGATTTTGGCAATAGTCATCTTTTCGATGCCACCCATCCCATAGGTTCCGATGATTCGTGTTTCACTTGATTGAGCACCTATTATTTTCATGATTTTATCTCCTGGTGATCGACACTGACCAAGCAGTCCAAGCCTTTTTCAACTTAACTTTTAAGAAAAGTGGAATGGAATATTTTCTTGCTTTGCTTTTGTCTTTTTTTGCTACGCGCTCAAGACCTTAACATATGTCCACCTTCTTTTTAGCATTTCACTTTTTCTCTTCTGCTTTTCGGGACAAGATAGCATATGAAGGGATATGATTGTTCACTTTGAATCTCTTTATTGGCATCAATTATGTGGTCTATCGTCATACAAATCTGACATTTATCAACGACTTCTTTTTTCTTTTTTTTTTGGGTCTGGATTTATCAACGACGTTAGCTTGCAAACACTTGCGCAATTTTGTTCCGAAGGGTAATACTTTACAAATAAAAGAAAAAAAAAAGATGAAATTGTCCCCCACAGTCTTCCTCGTTTATTTAACTTAGGGTCAGACTATTTGATGAAAAATCATTGTTCGGAAATTTTTTTCTGTACTTTTCAGTGTTTGAATTACGTAAAACTATTCAATCGATGAAAAACATTAACCATGG